ATGGAGGACACCAATCTCACAGCTATTGTTCTTCTTGACTTTACTAGTGCCTTTAACTCAGTAGATTTTGACATTTTGCTTGCCGTGCTCCGAGCAATAAACGTATCCTCTTCTGCTATTGAATGGTTTTCTTCCTATCTTTTCGGTCGCCGGCAGTGTGTAAGAGCCAATGATGCTTCATCGGATTGGTCTTCGCTCACTGCCGGTGTACCTCAAGGTGGCGTGCTTTCTCCTTTACTTTTTTCAATTTTTATAAACAATATCTCTCGTTATATTAATTCTCCCTACCATCTGTATGCGGATGATCTACAACTCTACAGACACTTCGCATTGCCTGGATTGTCTGATGCCATTGCTGCCTTAAATACTGATTTATGTGCAATACAATCGTGGGCTGATACATTTGGACTTCTCATAAATCCTATTAAATCACAAGCCATCATTATTGGCAGCAGCAGGATGAGATGCAAGTTGAATTGGTCCGAGATACCGGCACTTTATTATGATGGAGTTCCAGTGGCTTATGCCGAGAAAGTTAAGAACCTTGGTCTCATAATGGACGGCACTTTGTCTTGGGCATGTCATATAAATGAACTCAGTAAACGCATGTACTTTTCATTTCACTCTCTCAAGCGACTCCAATACTTTCTCCCGGTAAACACAAAAATTATGCTCGCACAATCTCTACTACTCCCAATACTTGACTATGCCGACGTCTGTTTTTTGGATGTGACTGAGGAGCTTCTAAACAAGCTGGAACGTTTACAAAACCTAGCTATTAGGTTCATCTTTGGTCTTCGTAAATACGATCACGTGTCTGCCTTTCGCAACCAGTTAAAGTGGCTCCCTATCCGACTTCGACGTGATATGCACATCCTTTCTTTCCTTTATAACATACTCAATAACCCCAATTCTCCATCGTACCTCCGCTCCCGGTTTAAATTATTACCACCACCAGTCCGTCCTAAACGCTCCTGTCAACTGCAATCCAGGATGCTTGAACTTCCTGTGTGTAGGACACACTTTATGGGCAACTCTTTCTCGTATCGAGCTGTCCAGTTATGGAACAAACTCCCTTCCCACATACAAGAGAGTCCCTCTATTACCTCTTTCAAGAAGAGGTTAAAATCACATTTTCTTTCCCTTGAGTAATATTTTTTTTTTTTTTTGTATTTTTTTAATTGAACTCTCAAATCTTAAAATCATTAAACGAAATTTCTAATGTATGTAGTATATTAATTTATTTTAACATATACTATATAAGTAGGTAGGTATTGTATATATTTATAGTGTATGTATTTATGTAATATTTTATTATATATTTTAATATTTTATTTAACTGTATATTTGTTTATGTATTAATAGTTGTAGCACTTCAGCTGTCCGCTAACGAAATGCTTTCTTACTGTACTGGGTTGACTGGAAGAGATCTCTGTCAGAGATAAGTCCACCCTTGCTCACAACATTTATAAATAGATTATTTTATATGTAACTTACAAGTGCAATAAAGAATATATATATATATAATATTAGTCTATTCTCAATTTGACCATAGACTTTAACAATAAATAAAAAAATATATATGCGTGTATTTGTCAAATGCACGGTAGTGCGTGTAATGTTTTTCTTATTTATTTAATGTATTTTTATGCATAATTAAAAAAATCAGCATTCTGTACTTCTTCTCTATATAAACTATACTACTCCTCCGTCTGCGCAATTTTCATAAAAAGGGGTACAAAGTTTTTGCTTTATATATATATATATATATATATATATATATATATATATATATATATATATAGTATTCATAATCTGATTTTTATGTTAATTTTATGTTAAAAGTCTTAAAACCTATTATTTCTACAATATAATTCTCTAATGTTTGAATTTTGAAAATTAATCTATTTATTTCTTTAAAATTCTATACACGATTACATCAAATCTAAAGTACAGCATTACTAGAGTACTATAATCTCGATTCGCTTACATTTCTAGCAGCTAAAGTGCGAATTGCAGCAATCAAGTCTCGGTAAGATGCCTCCGCAACAATATTGACGCACCGCGTCCTCGCAAGATTCTCATCACTTGCACCGAACACTAAATTTGCAACATTATACCAACGCATTACAGTCGAAATTCCAATATTATGTATAACAAATATATTTGAAAGATTTCTCAGAAATATTTTCAATTACATTTTTTTATATTGATTACAGATTGATGTTTTATAATAATAATAATAATAACTTTATTGCATAACTACGACTATAAAAAACTCAGCACTGGGATTCCAGTAAAAGTAAGTACTTAAATTTATTTGTACATTTTTGATCAACTTAAACATCTGTGTCTGAACTAAGTTATAAAACCTGTATCTTAGACAACAACGGTACACACTTATTAAATATTATAAAATTAGTTCAGTGAAATTTTTAGTGTTACATATTGAATGATTGATTTTCTATAAAGTTTCATTATCTCTAATAATCTGTATAGAATGATGTTAGTTTTACAATAATTATTTCTATGTACTTCTGTACGATTTGAGAATAATTATAAAATATAATATGTTTAATTTAATTTTTTTTTATACAACTTAGAATAGCAAAGAAGCTGACGGCCCACCTGATGGACAGTGGTAACCGTCGCCTATAAACATGAGCAGTACCATGGACATAACAGTACACACACATACTGTTTCGCCCATGATATCCCCCATGCGTTGCCATTCCTGAGAACTCAGGTGTTATTCCTCTGTACCCTGTAAATTCACGCCATATCCCACCCTTCAAACTGAAACTCAGCCATGCAAACACAACTGCTTCACGGTCGAAACACGAGTGGGACAGAGGTACCCAAGCAATCGACTTTTGTACAAAGTCTCCCTCTGGTAAATTACGAGATTATAGTACTCTAGTAATGCTGTATTTTAGATTTGATGTAATCGTGTATCGAACTAGAAAGAAAGAAATAGATTAATTTTAAATATATAATTTCACTTGACTACACTTAAAATGTTTTACATTATATCATGTCAAAGTTTTATAATAAGATATATTTTCATATTTCTAAACAAGTTGAGCAAAATCGGGACTAGTCGGTAGTGAAACAATAAAAAAAAATAGAAGCAGACTTAATTAAATCGTATCTCTTAAGCTAAATTCACACGCAATAAAATACACTGGCAATTTATTATAGTAATTATATCATATAAAAATAACTGTAAGTCCTGCGCTCTATGCAACGTAGTGAAGACGAATTTATGTATTATAATGAAATGATATCATATATGATCATTAATTCTTGTAATTTATAGTTCGCGAAAGTATTACTGGTTAATGAAGGCCGTCAATAATAATTATTTTAAACGATATTAAAAAGGAGCAGATTCTTAATTTACCTGTGACTTTGTATATGTGCATATGTGTGTGTATGTTACTTGATTTATTCTCTAACTCAGAAGTAATTAGTTTTTTTGCATACGATGACTGCATATTAATTTTTGTTGTCTCAAAACAAATGAAGTTGCGGTTTTAAAAATCAAATATAATAATAATGCTTTTGTAATATTATATATTTAATTAATAGCAAAAAACTTAGTACCAACAGATGTAGGTACTAAATCTTTTTTAATATATTTTTTTTTATATAACTCTTACGGGACCGACACGGGAGTTTTATGTACTAAGTGTCATCATACGTAAATATCTATAGTTATCATATATTACATAAGTATAGGTATTATATATGTATAACTATAGTTACATAAAAGCATACTTTTATGTAACTATAGTCTCACGTAAATACATATATTTACGTGAGAAACTAGAATAATCGTTGATGTGAGACGAGCACTTGTGACCGTCCAATAGCCGTTGAAGTCTTTTATATGGACCATGGTCTTCGGCTTCATTGATCTCATGTCAATATAATATTGTATTCACTAAATGTAATAAAGTTAGCAACGTGTAATACAATGTTATGAAGTTAGTAAGTATTTATATTATTAGTTCAAAAAGAAAATTAAACAATCTTCCCATTTTTGAAGGGGAATTTCGAATCGTATTAATTTGTCAATTCTTTGTAAAGTTTCTAGAACGATTAGATTTTTTTATACAATCAAACTTATAGAAAAATAAAAATGTACTTATTTATTTAAAAAAAAAGATTATTAATGTCATTTACTATTATGATTGTCTCTTACTGTTTTAATTTTAAAATTGAAATTGGTTTTCTTGTAAAAAAAATTAACATTACACGAAAGCAAATAAAAATAAATATATTCTCTGTTAAAAAATAATCACGAATAAAAACACATAATTATGTAAATTATCGTAAAATATTTAGCTTGCTTTTAAAAGTTAAAATGAAGTAACATTATAAAGTATATATTATATGAAATCATTTTTATTTAAATAAGTTCTTTTAAACCATCATTTTTATATTGTAATATATTTTATCTGTTTGAAAACATTTTTAGCGATAATTTTAACAATATTTTCATCTCAAAACGACACTTTGCTTAAAATATTGCATTTTTTTTATTGGTATTTATGAATACTATGTTGCATTTTCTGCACTTGACTTTTAAATTTTCACTATTATTAGATATTATTGAAAGATGGCTTTTTTCAGGCAAGAGCTTTTTTCAAATTTTCATTTACATAATAAATATTGTTTAATTAACCGCAAATTCAACTGCCCAGTTCAGTTTATTTTTAGTTTAATTGTTTTAATTATGAAATTATATAATCTTTTTATTGAAGTTTCGACAATTTTGCTCATATATTTGTTCATATGTCATACGCATTTTCTGTCATATACGTATAAATAAATATTGTTTAAAACTTATCGCGAACATATATTCCCATTTTAATATTGTTTTTCTTAAATTAAATTATCTATATGTCTATTTATTGGAATTAAATCGTTTTTCTTATTTATTTATAAAATTAACTATTTACGTAATAAATAAATAGATGTACTTTAAAACTTACCGCGTACACAAATCGGCGGCCACTGTAATGCGGTTGGCGCAAGCGCAGCTATGCGACGCGCACGCGAGGAGCAATGACTTGGACGCTCGCACTTGACCTTGCGCGCGGCGAGTAGGCACCGAACAGCCGCCGTACTCGTTTTATACTCAGCTTATTGATGTAACATACGGTTCATAAGACCTACGTACCATAATGAAGGTTTAGCACCTTTTTTATCTTTTTAGAAAAATAAAATTATAAATAAAAAATTAAAATTTAAATATGGAACACATTATCATATTGATGCGTATATTCTGTTTCTGGACATCGTGTCGAGACCATGTGTTAACAACGCTGCTATCCTTCCAAATATTAAATTATATATAAAAATATTTTACCTTCTCGTTTATCTTATATTATAAATTGTATCGAAAATTAGATTTGTATATTTCGAAATAATTTAGAATATAAGAAGAAGAAGATAGAATATTTTTATATAGTTATATAATTTAGTATTTGTAAGCACAAGAATAAACGTAAAATTAAATTATAAAGATTATTTTCGTAAGCATCTTCCCTTGTATAGTAAAATAAGTAATCGTTAATCAATTGGATACGTGGTTATATTGATCAATCATTAACAAGGTGACAATCAATCGTATGAATAAATATAAGTACAGTTGACAAATTAATATCAAAAGAGTAAAATTAGAATAGTGGTCCACTAACATTTCTCTCGTACACCACTTTGCTATATTTTTTGGTTTTGATTAAACCCTCTGCCTACATAATATTGATTTTTTGCAAATTAACCAAGTTCAAATATGTTTAATAGAGCCTTAGGTTAACGTTACGTTAAAGAGAGAAATTTCTAACGACCGTTATGGGTTAGTAGAGAAATTTGGGCATCACCATGTCAGATCAAGTGAGTGAATCATTATATTCTTCTTGGTATTCATTCAATATTTTTTCTTGTGAATTTACTAATACACTTTCCCGAGCGTTCTATCGATTACTCGACATTAAAGTCTAAATTTCGTAATTCAATTTTTTTTTATACTACTTAGAATTGCAAACAAGCTGACAGTCCACCTGATAGAAAGTGGTAACCGTCGCCTATAGACATGAGCAGTACCATGGACATAACAGAGTATACTGTTTCGCCCGTGATACCCCCCATGCGTTGCCATTCCTGAGGACTCAGGTGTTATTCCTCTGTACCCAGTAAATTCACGCCATATCCCACCCTTCAAACCGAAACACAGCCATGCAAACATAACTACTTTACGGTTGAAACACGAATGGGACAGAGGTACCCAAGTAATCGACTTTTGTACAAAGTCTCCCTCATGGTAATTTTTTTATGATTTAAATTGCGTTTTTTTGCGGAGTTAGTATTGTGCATTTTTAGAAGATTAAGCCATAGAGAACAAAAACTCACTTGCAAGTATGTCAGTAACGGATAACTTGTAATTACGTACCTTAATCATTTCAGCCATTATGCGTCCACTGCTGGACATAAGCCTCCCCCATAGACTGCCATAAAGAACGGTCCTGAGCCACCTGCATCCACTGACTCCTTGCAAATGTGTTATATAGCATTATATTATCTGTGCATGAGTATCACACAAAAATATTTGACGAGCAGCACGACGGTGTGTAGCCACTGTCCGTTGACTATCCAATTTACTTTGATCCACTCCGTCCCGCTTCCTCCAAACGAGTATGAAAAAATAGACCGAGCTTAGGTATCTGACTAAACTGGTTACTTCTTACCAACCCCATCGTAATGAAGCTCGAGAGGTGGGATGGGAACTGTGAGGTAATTAATAACAAATAAGGATAAAATAGTACATAGATCTCGTTTAACGATTCCCAACTTCCTCGTATCAGAGCTCTGAAGATTCCCATCAGCTTAATATTGCTTTAGCAGTCGATCTAATTAGAAGTTAATCTATCTACAGACGGGCTGTAATTCGTGGCTTTCTCCGCGTAAAATACGATAAAAGCATCTCTTGTGTTAAGCTAGGATACGATTTAAATTTGTGTACTAAATTTCATTCAAATCCCATCAGCCGCTCAAGTGTGACTGAATAACAAATTTTCGAATATCTTTACAAATATTTACATTCATGCATTTACAAATGTTATTTTACTTATGTAGAATATTCAAGAAATTATATTAAACTGAAACGAAAGGAAGATTAGATGGCATAGTAAAATGAAGAGCCCACCGTAAAATGAATGAACGAAACACAAATTTGATGGTAAAACTACATAATAGATGCCGTTTAATAATATTAAAAATGTTAAAATATCGTCCTTCTGGATTTTTATGGTGCGACTTACGACGAACAAATTGTAAAACTCCATTTACTGGGCCGATTTTGGTAAGAACGAAAACACGAAATTGAGTAAAAAATTCGGAATTTCATTTTTCATGGTAAATCCCTAGGAGCGTATTAAGTAATTAATCTCGGCACCGGCGATTCGCGTATTTCTTCCGAAGTACGAATGAGTGCATTTATGTGTTTCAATTTGAAGGACAGTGATATACCATGTATAGTATATTATAGTCCTCAAGAGTGACGTTGCATGAGAGTTGTATGTTATTTTTACGAGAATGTTATACTAGCGAAACTGAATATTTTCAACCGACTTCAAAAGAAATAGGTTCTCGATTTGGCTTTTTTTGTGTTTATTACCTCATAACTCCATCAGTTGTAAATCAATTTGGAAATTTCTTCTTTTATCTGATATAATATACTCAAAGATTATTATGTATTTGTATAAATTTTTATGTTATTAAAATTTTTACTTTTCATCACTGTGACATTAATTTTTGTAATATCTAATTTTAATAATAAATAATAATTGGATTAAAGTTTCTTAAATTAATGATTAATATTATCTATCTATACTTATAATAAATCCGTAGAGAAGTCAATTCTGTACATGAAATATATTTCCAAAATAACTATCAGGGGGTGATTAGTGATCGATACTGATGCCAAAAATGCAATCAGTAAAATTTTTGTCTGTCTGTCTGTATGTTCGTTATAGAAACAAAAACTACTCGACGGATTTTAACAAAACTTGGCACAATTATTCTTCATACTCCGGGGCAGGTTATAGTATATTTTTCATCACGCTACGATCAATAGGAGCAGAGCAGTCAAGGGATCTGTTGGGAAAACGGGAGAAGTTACTTCATTTTCAAGCTTCCGTCGCGTGTGCAGCCTTAATGGCTACTTTTAAAATGTAAAAATGTCCATCCATACGACGCCGGGACGGGCCGCTAGTGTGATATAATAAATGAAGCAACATGGCGATCTATTTTTAATATTTAACATCATGCAACTAAATACCTTTTTAAACACAAAGAACTGATTGACTTAATTGATTTAGTCCCATAGAAATTTTATTGAAACCAGTTTAATACGATAGTTTTCAATCAAAATAACTGGTTTTGTTATAATTAAAATCGGTTTTTTGTGATACACAATTTTTCACAATTCAACGAAACATAGGGATAAAATCAACAAAAATTTTTGAACCTTCCATACAAACTTGACAGCGTGTGTTATGGCATAGTCAAACTATTAAGAATTTAAATATAGCACGCACTTTTACGATTTTGTCACGTTTATAGATTATGTTTATTTTACATTTATTTATGTTTATATTTACCATTAGAAATAGTAAACTAAGTCAAACAACATTTAAGCAATTTGGCAAACGGTCGCTTAGAGGAGACATCTTAAAAACATGCGTTGTTTCTTCCGAGGGGTAAAGTACCAACAGTAAGTAAAAGTACCATATAATTCAATTGCAATTACTATTACCCACATTAAGCTATTGCGCCAGCTTGTAGCTATGAGATAACAATCGTAAACACGATGTAGCCTAAAAAGGACCTGATTAACGTACTGGTTCCGAAGATCCGATAGCGATCGGGCCTTGTAAAATAACAGAACTTGCGTACCTACAGCTTTTACAATTTAGATGCATTTTTGAAATATTAATTCAGTTGAAACAGATTTCTAGATGCATTTCAGTTGAGATTTTTTTTGTACATTACGTGATATATTCGTTAATTGCAAACTGTTTTTTTTTCTTTTTAATCTTTATTTTAAATCGAATGGATAAAATTTCAGGACAGTTCCTAATTTATTAATACTATAAAAATATTTATTTTTGTAACAGAGATTGGAAAACGACTTAGAACATGGTGTAAAGGGGGGAAGGGATTGTTAGTAATGGAGACTAGTATTTCTTTTGCTAGCATTATACTCTGTTAGGTGGATCTCTACTCGGACCCTCTTGGAAACCATAGTGGTTAATTCCAGGTGAATTCGTCACGATGGGCTGATTGACCTGTCTTTATCCTTACCCATCATCTCTCATTGGTGCTCCGCTAGCATATACCGATAGCGTGAGAGCATTTTCATTCCATTTTCACCCATTAAAAATATGCTACACATAAACACACGAATTGTAACCGTCACTTATAGACATGAATAGCCCCACAGACAACAAATTTAGTGATAGCGTGATAGAGATATACCGACTATCACGAGTAAAAAGTAATCTATGTATTTTTAATGAATAATAATGGAATGGTGACCCCACTTGCGTTATCGACATACCCTGGCGAGGCACCAGTGAGAGATGATAGGTGAGAATGAAAATAGACCCATTGGTCTATTATCAAGAAGTGGACAAGAATTAACCACGATGGTTTCGAGGGAGAACCACGTGGAGGTCGATCTAAGAGGATATATTATTGGTATTATTAACAATCCTATTCCCATTAGCGTATGTATTTCTACATCATTAATGGTAAATACGTAGGTACAGAGCCAGTAAACAAACTCATTTATAATATTTGTAAGGATTTCAAAAGTTTCTTATGGAAAGTACATGTACTCTAATTTTATGAATGATGACATCAGCCATTAACTGTCCACTATTGAACATATGCCTCCCTCCTAAAGGGGGATTTGCTTGTATTTGCCACACTTGGCAGGCGGGTTGACAATCGCAGTTTTTTTATTAATGGGAGAAAATGGAATGGTAACCCCGCCCGTGTTATCGGCATACACCGACGAGGCACCAGTGGAACATAATAGGT